CTACGTATTATCAGAGGAATACACCGAATGTAGTTGTAGAGTGGTTAGCATTCTAACATCGTGTTTTGTGGATCTCAAATTCACATTTTGGCTTCGAGACAGACTTGGTATTCAGATGTTTTTCGTGGTTTTATTTAGTTCCTCCATGTTAATCGTAGGATAGTAAGTCTGCCGTAAATTAGAAAACTGAAGCTTTTTTACGTGTCCATAATAGACCTACTGAATTATTTTCTCTAAGAGATTTATTTAGTAGTCATTATTATTCAATGGTCACTTTAAACTAATAATTTTTAACGTAGGCGATTACTATTTCTTAATCACGCAGGGCGATACATTACAACAAAGACTGCATCTTGGCGGAATAAAAGCTGAGAACCCCTAGACTGTATGATACTTAGAGTAAGGGGGAATTTATCTGGAATTAAATATAGCTGATACGGTACTAGTGTTGATATTTATGTTCTGTGAACTTCAATAGGCCGCTTCTCTAGTCAGATGTGTGACTTTCTTTCACAAAGCCGTAAAAAATTAGATTATTTTGATTTAAGTAATTAAAATTTTGAAACTGATGACACGAAGTTAAATTTGCTCAACCGGTGACGGCTTTGAATTACTGGTACATCGAATTATGCGAACAGGTGACGTAAAATTATGCATATATCCACAGAATTGCGGAAGAGACATGAACGTGTATCTGCTTTGAATAGTGATGACTGGTTTGTCTCTCACTGTGTTGACTTGGGGTTTAGTAAACATGTCAAATGGACAGGCCATGGCCAAATTTCAGAGAAATTGCTATAGAGGGTGCATGTACCTATGCAATTGTGTGTTTACATGGGTATTTATAAAGGATCGCTACTGCGCGTCTCAATTCTCAATACAAGATGCCCTGGAATCTATTTCCTTATTTTGTTATTCTTCATACTCTTACATTGGTATATATTTTCATGTGGTTTCTTCGTACTGTATTAACTTACTTAGTAAGAAAGACACCGAATGAACTTTGTAATCCCCAAAACTTGTCCACATAATATCGAATTCAGTCCGTACCTCAAAGAACATGCAACAGGTCTCCATTACAAAGATAGGCTAATTATTGTCGTTTGAAGGGATAATCGTTGTTATTTGTGAGAATCAATAACTATAAATACAAAATGTATTGTGGCTGATTGTTAAAACAGATGGTGCACATACTTAGCTATCAGCTGATGTAATATAAGAGAACCTTTAAATTAGTTGTGCATTCCAACATTACTGCTCAACCAAGAGCAAAGTCCTGAGAAAAATATTTCGAAGGAAAATGACAGTAAACTTTAGATTAAGCGTAAATAAATTTACATAATAAGCTTTATAATATATAGGCATACTCCTCAGTTATTTTAAGCGGTATTAAATCAAGGAGGATGAGTTGATTGAGACGGGTTTATCATTTGGGGGACATGAAATATGTAAGCAAAATTTTAGTCTAAAACCTGAACGGAAGATACTACATATGATATTAGAAATACTAAATACGGATTATAAGACTAAAATTTATGCAGATCCTCGGGTTTTGATAGTTCCATGTTATTTCAATGTGTTTTCGTATTTATCCCTCAGGCGCTAACTGTAACAACATTCATATATAACTAGTAGAACGGATTCTAATAACATTCAGAATCATGTATCTTTAATAAGCCAAGTTTTTCTTTCACTTAAATGCAATAAAATATTGAATTGCTTGTGGCACATCTTTAGCACGTCTGCAGTAATCGCCTTTATTTTTATTTGAACTGACACGTATTTTGCCTTATCACTGATCAGTGTCACCTTCTCTAAGAATTACTAGTGGGGGAATATTATTAAAGCAGTGCGGCATGAGTTACTCAAGTTTCGCATTAATGTAGTGCAGTGGTATTCAACCTGAGGTACGCGTACCCCCGGAGGTACACGAAGACGTCTTAGGGGGTACATGAAATTTAAAAACAAATTTTATGGTAACCACTGAATAATCCGGGCCAGATTTAATACATTATTTTGGATGTAATTTATTTAATTTATTTTAGATGTAGATTATATACTATGTATAACTTGAATTATACACCAGCAGCTTTGGGGGAACAAAGTTGAAGAGAAATTATATCTGGGGGTACGCGAACAAAAAAGGTTGAATACCACTGATGTAGTGTATTAACATTTTATGTATACTTTATTTAACAACGCTGTCAGTTGAAATGGGATGTGTAAGAAATCGGTTATCACCTTATTATGGTATTCTCTCAAAATTCGCTTGGAAGACTGAGAAAACCACGAAATTACGTCACAATAATCGGTTTCCAGTCCTGTTCTGTTACTTGTTTCCCAAGATACGGAAAATATGTATATGGGGACTCGAACGTAGGACAGTTTAACAGGATAGTGACTTTTTTTCTGTGATCTACTGACAGATACAAACGGTTATAATTTTGGCTTCAGTTTTCTGTCGTGTAAAATTTCTGAGCTGCAGAACCCGCCATCGCCGGGACTCGAGCTCAAGACACTTTTACTCTCCTTGACTTCAGAGGATTATCATGTCAAGTTTGGGGAAGATTGATTTTTCCCTTCTCGATCTATAAGGTAAAACATACGCAGCCACAAAATTAAATTTGTTTATGAATAGATATAATACGTCATTGTGGTTTAACTCCATTAAGCTGACCGACCAAACTTTACTTGACTTTGAGGGACAAGCAGGTGACGACGGAATTTCCGTCACCTTTCCGAACTTACTTCAAGTTGCTCACTTAACAGAACCGAACTTCCCACTCCGTTTCGTCCGCTGTAATTCGCAAGTTCAGCGATTCTTATAAAGAGCTAATTGCGACCATTTATTCTTCTTCAGCAGATTACCTTTGTACCTTGTCTTTGCCAGCTACAACCTCTCGTCTTCCACTTACTCCAAAATCACAACTTTTGTCCTCCTACCCCACCTCACGCCACCCCACCCCGCAACCTGTAATTAAGTACTGGGCGGACTACAAGACAAATCTAACCAGCAATTTGTAGTTGCTCAAAGAGACTCTCTGACTGCCTGATGATGTCAGCAAGATAGGGACTGGATATCAGCTTGAATAGGCAATTAACTACTTCATTGGGTATCAAATGAGATAAGGTGAACGGTTGTGTCTACTCTGAATAGAACATAAAAATGCGTTTAGAAATAAAACTGTAATAATAAGGAGTGTTCGAATGGAGTACATTTAATTTGTATGTAAGTTATTTGTTATTTTTTCAGTCGCATTGCACTTGAAATTCGCATAATCATATTATTACAAAGCTGATCACTAGACGTATTTCTGTACTTTTCCTTATCAACCTATGTAATTAAAAATCCACCATATGAAAAATGTTTTAAGTAAATGTAGTAAAACTTAATGAGAAATACAAATTGTGCTGTGTTTTGTATGTTACAGTTTTATACAGTTACTTATTGTCAAGTTAATTTTAATTTTATTTAATATAATGTAGTAATTATCGAGGCATGTCGTTTTTATCAACTTCTTACAAAATTGTATTCAACATCCTTCTCTCAGGATTAGGTCAATGCGTAGAAGAAATTATTAGGGATTATCAGTGTAGCTTTCGATGCAATAGGTCAACTACTGATCAGATTTCTTGTATTCGCCACATGCTAGAAAAAATTGGGAGTAGAATGAAACAGTACGTAAGCTATTCATAGACTTTAATAAAGCTTGTGATTTAGTTAGGAGGGAAGTATTCTACAATATTCTCATTGAAACTAGTTAGGCTTATTAAAATGTGTTCAAACGAAACTCATACCAAAGTCCGTGTAGGTAAACATTCGTCTGACACGTTTTTTTATTAAATGGTCTAAAATAAAGAGATGGTTTGTCGCCATTCCTTTTAATCTTAAGTTAAGACCAAAACCCACCATTGAACACAATAATGGGCCATTTTCATGCTCCCGCCCACATGCTTAAAGTTATCTCCCCAAGATTCATCTTAATGTTATCCCCTAATTTTTTCTCCATCTCAAATTGTTTCCCCCCAAATTCTGTATGCATTGCTTACATCTCTCATCCTAGACTCATACCGTAGCCCCGTGCACTTTAATATCCTAACATTGTTATTGTCCGTGACCTATATAAGTCACGTGGTTCCTCGTCCTGTGATGCCATTAACGAAGTATTAATCCATGCATTTTTAACCTTGACACTAATGCATATTACATATACCAAATTGCTTATCTCATCCTTCTCAGGCAATTGTATGAATATTTAATCAGTCAATTCTCTCCTTTCCTCAGTTTATTGCATATCATTAACCCTTTGAATCACGAAGTTTGGTCTAAATAATATTTAAAATTTAGTTCATACCACAAAGCAATTATTAACACGTCTCCGTTATAAAGATCAGCTCGTTAATGCTGCGTAGGGATATAATCGTTGAAGATATCTATATCTTCTGGGATGTTGCGTCGTGTGACCAGTTTAGTCAATGTCTGTTAAGTGAGATTTCAGGTTTTCATAACGACTAGCACCTCTGAAATGTCGATAAACGTGTACCAGATTACACCAACCCAGAATAAAGTCATCTTCATACTGTTATCCTTGAGAACCTTTTTAAATCACACGTAGTAAACCTCTAAGGGGAGGTTAATCTTTGCTACGGTCGGAGATTCGCGTCCATCACTAACTCATTGTCAGATAATAAAGTCAGCCAGCATCTCTGAAACGTCGGTAAACTTCTACCAGACCACACAGCCCAACAGTCATGGCTTTTTAAATTCGAAATCCTCACCCCATTGTCAGCTTCTGTTCAACTTAATTAGCGCGATCATTGCTATGGACTGACAAGGAAATCCGAAAAAGTACTTGTTTTCTGCTTTTAGTAGAGTCCAAAATTTGTAAATCACTTAAAAATGTAATTATGGCTTAGATATTAATAAATTATTACACAGACTAATTGTGTTTATGTTTTTTACAAAATTCTCTCTAATGATTGTCGTTGGATCGTTGCAGAATGTTGACGCGGGACCATTTGGAGGATTATTAATGGATGCTGACCACTCAGATGCGGGGTAAGTCCATTTTGTCTTTACATTATCCCATAATATTGGTTTTACGAAAATTATCTAGGCGTATTTTGACCTAAAACCAAGAAAAATTAATTGTATCGTAAGACTACATCTCCCGGATTTTTTATTGATGCTTCTGGATTTTGACAAATGTAGTTCTCCATGAGATGCAGAATATTACATTTTTTCCCCTTAAACCGAATCTTAAAGACAATATAACTGAGGGGTCATGGAAAAGAGGATTCAGTAAACAAATGTTTTCGAATGATAAAATAGCATCGCGAAATGTACTTGTTAAAACCGAGTTATATTAAGAATATTTTCCATTGAGGAACTAAATGGTATACCGTAATAATATATATGCATTAATGTATTCAATTTACTCCATGCTGTAGTTTCTGCAAGCTGGAGCATAAAATTAGAAAACGCCAGGTTGTGTGTAGCAGTTTATTACGCTCTGAATATTCGCCATTATGAGGAATTCAGAATCAGTATCATCAGCCTTTAGACAAGTAATAAATTTGTTAATCCGAACCATGGTGCAAAGTGACCACCATTACTGCCTAGTATTTAGAAGGTCACGGGTTTAATTCTCGGACACGTTACCTGCTCCTCTGGCTGAGTTCCTTAGCAGTTTTCCTCAGCTACGCCCGGAAAATTGTACTTTCATGTCCTTTGCAATTACCATTCACGAATTATTCTGGTCTTTTGTGTAACATGGCGTAGTTAGCAATTGGAACTTCTTTAAATAAACCAAGACTCAAGAAACCCATTTCTTAAAAGCTGTAAACCGAAATAATTATTGATTTAATCTGATAAATTTCATAAAATTGAATCGAAACAACTAGTATGTTTTTCCAAACTTTTTTCTGAATTACAATTCTTACGTATTTCAAGATTTCATAATTATTCTCAGTTATTATTTCAGACTCAATTTTGCGCATAGGCCTACATGGTTCCCGAAACAAATAAATATTACGCCTGATATATGAATATTGCTGTCTTCTGGGGTGTCTATGTCCATGTGAGAGGACTTAAAGAAAAGTAGGCTCACAAGTAACTTTCAAAAATGTTTTTTATCTGTGCTGGTTTCGACTTGTATCCTCCCCAAAAGTATTTTATTTTCGTTCGTCTATACCATTCGACATGTGACGTGTCTTACAATACTTTAAGAGGCGAACGTTTCTCATCAATGACGTTCATAACTTTGTTATGTTTAAAATTACACAGAAGTATAATTTTTTTTCTCACAAGAGGCTGAACTCATTCATAATTCATTTTAACTTAATTAACTTTTAATTAATTTTAACTTACGTTTACATACATAAATTGTGGTAGAGCGAAAATAAAAAAATCTGCCTTTAGAGCGATTCTAGGAAATGATAAGGGCTTATTTACGAGTAGTAGCACTTCGCTTGTTTATTCTACCTCGTAAGTTGCTGTTTACTTTCTGTGAAGTCCGCGTATACGCGTGCTCACAGGCCTACCACCTTCACTAAAATGATAACATCGATACACAAAATGGTCATTGAAATTGTCAACAAAACACAAAAAATTGTGATATACGGTCAGGAACAAGAACTTTGGCCAGATGCAAATGTTAGAAAATTTCCAACAAAAAACTCACCATTGTAATCGAAATTATTGACAAAGTGAACTATTCAGATTTCTTAACGTTACTCTGTAAGGCTAACTTTGGCCGTGTAATAGCAAAGGCGACTATCACCGGCATCATACCGCGAGACCTGGTTTCGTGTTCAGGTCACTCAGCTAGGTCTTTCTCCGAATATTTCAATTTCTCCTTGTAAATATCATTCCTCTTCTGCTCCACTGTCATTAATGTTCTACAGAGACATAGTTTCACCCTACCATACTATCAGTACGTCTTAACTTTCTTATCAGGGAAAAAAGATAATAGATTTGAAGTCTTTTTTACAATTTTTTACGAATTTCACCTCTCAACCGTATCTCTGTCTAATTCTAGACATGTGTGTATTTATTGTTATTTCTTATTCGTCATTCTTTCATTCACAAAATATTGTTAGAGGTATTAAATAAAGGAGGATAAGACGGTCGGAGCACGTAGCACACATAGTAAGGCGAGAAATACAAATAAAATTTTAATCTCGAAACTTTAAGGGGTGGAACACTCCGGAGACCGGCCAAGCCGTGGATATTAAATTGTGTCGAAGAGAAAAAGCTTTTTAGGATGTAGTCTGAATTTATGTGAGGATAAGGACGATAATGAACTTTAGGTTGCGTATAAGACATGGAATTTCTTGACCAGCTAAGCAATATTTTACTGCTCGAAAAGGACTGTATTTCATTTAGACTTATTAACAATATAATGTAGATTGTTCCACCATTGTTTACTTCTGGTTTGAACTTCAAGGAAACAAACGAACAAGTCAAATGTCAGTGCATTATTACGCTCAAGTTAGTATGCGCATTCCTATCGTGTGCTAGTACGTCACGAGGAAGTTACTATGTAATAACGTCAAAATATTACGACACGGCGTTGCTTGTGCCATCAGTTCTTGATGAGGTGAAAATTGATGTACTGTTGCGTGTCTACGGTACCAAAACTCGGCTGCGTACAAAGTGGGTAATACGTCATCCACATCTATCGCGTGCCGCTTTTACTGGAACACGAGGTAATTTGAATGGGGGCTTACAAGAGGATATTATAACCCAATTACCCCAGCGTAGTACTAGCATACTCTGTGTAGTGGGATATTTTAATGGGATATCATCGCATTTTTAGTTCTTAGCAGTTAACGCTGTTGCAACGTACTAGTTGGTAACATTTTTAAAATCGTTACATTTTGATTAATGTTGTGTCATTAATACTGGAAGAAATGTTGACCTATATTCAGATCATTCGACCAAATAGTTAAATGCCAGAAAATTAGTATATAGCTTCCAACAATCAGGTGTTTAATACATGGCTAAACCTATAGTACCAGTGTAGGGAGAATCAACTTTGTTGGATTGGTTAGAAAACGCTAAACTCAGTTACTAAACCAATGGACCCAATAGAGTAGATGCCTCTTTCCTTTTTACCTGAGGACGGAAACATATCAGTTTCCGAAACGTTGTGTTCTTTCGAACAAATGACGATGGACAAATTAAAAGAATTTTGTAATCCCGAATGGAAGAGATACGTTCATTCGAATCGTTTATAAATACTTACGGTGTCATAGCCTAGAAAACCACAATACACGGATTAAATGTTAAGCAAATAACTTAGATTTAAAAGATAATGTTGCTAGAACCTATAAATTCAAAGACAATTTATGTGAAATGTCAGACGCCCTCTGCCAAAAGCTCCTTTTACTATAAAGTAAGTTTTTTGGGTAACATTATATGCTGTGAAGTTTACATCAAATGTTATATATGCTTCGAAGGTAAGGACTTATTGTAGCCAAAATTTTACCTGCTTTTTACAGCGTACTGTCTCATAACACCGTTCAATATGAAATCTGAACAACATCAGTGGCGATGAAGAATGATGGTGATGATTATGATTGATGATTCACAATGTAAATAAACAGTTTTTTTAGGTTTATGATGATTTTGCAGAATTTTTAATTGTAATTTTAATTAGAGTTCTTAGAATTCAATTCAGTATATTATTGTAAATCATTGTTATTCAGTGTACATAACTTTATTATAGAAATACTATTTAGTGAAACTGTAAGGTTATTTTACCATTACCATTCTACTTGAATGAAGGACAAACAATGAGAAAAGTTCAGTTCCTTCTGTAATCTTTTCGGCTTACGTGATCCGGAATCCTGCAGAAGGTAAAATCGAACAAACCAATTTAATTTCAATTTGCATTGTCTCGGTTGATGGATAATGGAGAAGCAGGATTCACATAAGGCACCAGAAGAGGGAAGACGAGACGTGAAAAACGTGAAAATATGTAGTGTTTGAGTCAGAAGGTTTTGGCTGGTAGTTGTAAGTACGGAATGGGGATCAAATGTGATTTACTGCCCGCGACAACCAAGATGGCAGACGGCAGCCATAAGAAGATGTGGGTCGCGTGTCTAGGAGCCAGTCTGATTTTGCAGCAAGGAAAGGACCCGGTCAGGATCGACAAGGATATAAATGATAAAGTGGGGAGACGCACAGAACATATGTTTCGTTTCGGAAGGGGAAAATACTTTTATATGTTGTAAATTTATTTCCGTTCCTCAGAGATTTATTCATTTAGAAATGCAAGCACGAAACTTAAAACTGATATTGATGTTGAAGAAGGAAGTAAATATATCCTTTACAATTTCTGTATTAATTTATCTTTCATTCACTTAACATTACTTTCGCCACTTTTAAACTAGACTACTGAACACATACTTATTATAACCACCGATAATACAAAAATTATTACTTGAATGCCCTGTACCATACTGATACTGATTGCAATCAGTGTATGCCAAGATGGCTGTCGAATGAGTTGAAACGCCATGTAGTCTGGTACATACTGCCGCCATTAATAAGGGGACTTATCGCCCTGATGATGGAGGTAGCCAGCACCTCCGAAACGCCGGTAAACTTCAACTGAACTATATGGTTCAACAACCCGGAAAGTCCTTTACAAATCATCGTAAAAAAGAAGTTAATTTTATGTCTGAAAAAACGGAAAACAAGGTATCGAATAGATTAATTTTCTTTGTAAGATATTCTTATAGGCTGTATCCAGTAGAAGTTCCGGAACTGAGTGGATGATGGAAATAGAAAATTCAATGCTATTATTAATCTCTTTGTTGAAGAAGAGATAACTCTATTAAGAGCTCAACCCGAAATAGATTCCCTCTTTTCCCCAATAAGGCTTTTACCAGATCTCCTTTGCTGTCAGCGGCAGGCCAAGACTTCGAAGTTCTACGCCTCCTCACATACTAGCAGCTTTCATTTTCAATAGCCGTAATATACTTAAGAACGAAACCCATACAAGAAGTCACATGTCAGTAAGTGTATAAATTTATGTTGATTTAATTAAAACCTTGACATGATGAAGATATAACACGATACATTTCGCCGAAAATGGTTAGCACTTATGCTAGATTTTCAGAACATTTCAGGTTCGAATCTTGCTTCGTAGACCAGTTAAATAGAGCGAATCTTTTATGTGACTTTTCTCAGTTGTTCCTGGAAATTCGAGAGTAAATCAAAATCGGCCCCGATCGCCTGCTTTCAACATAAAAACCAATTCGTCGGCAACAATTTTCTTTTCATTGTTGGTGATTGTTGTGAAATAAGCCGAGAAAGAGATAAATTACGATTTATTTTTAAGGTTTATAAGTCATTATGATCCTTGTTACATTGGTTGCTGAGTATTACTGGCATTAACGTCTTCTATCAACTGCAGAGGATATTTCCCGTGCGAGGGATGTGCATGAACAGATTGTAACAAAGAAAGTAAATTATGTCGACATTATGTAGCCATACTTCAGAATCATACTTGGGAGATTAATTGTTATTTTCGTTTTTACTGTATCCCACTATCCATGTGTGTTGGAAAATAGAATTTTAAATAAATGCCAGTTTGTAATGCTGTTGTTTATTTGTTCTGTTTCCGGTCAGAGAACGCAACTTCTGCACGTGACTAGTCGCGTTTTCACTCAAAAGTCCGGTTCGTGTTAAAATGTCCACGCGGTTCTGTAACGAAATTCAGTTGTTTAATCTTTATAACTGTCCCTTCGAATACTTCTATTCATGACCGGTTGTCTACGATTCCACTTATCGTTGGAAATGAATGATTACGAAAACTCGTTATATCGTATTCACAAATTAAAATGCAGTGTCCTCTTCATTTCAGCCAGCATAGATGGCTTTATCCCTTTAAAGTCCAGCAGTTAAATATATGGGCCATCTGCACGTGCATTTTGTATTATGGGTTTCATAGGATTATCAAAGCAAACGGAGATTATTTCATTAAACATCATTAACCAGCTTATATTTGTAATCGTGAAGTTGTGGTGTATTCTTTGGGTACGGATTGAATTCTTAAATATTATTATAATATTATTCCGTTTTGAAAGTGAATACAGTATGAAATTCTAAAGATTTGTTGCATAATTTAAAACCAAATTAATGTATTACATTTTTAAACATGTTGTCCATTGAATTGTTTTATTAAAATGGTTTTATTTGTTTATAGGCCTAATTTGTTCCTTTTATTCCGCATACTGGATAGTTCCTATAGAACCGTCACATGGGCATTGCGAAATGTCGGAAATACACAATAAATTACTTTGTTTTAGTCCGAATAATAATACCATTCAATTGATAATAGTTAATATATTCAGTGCTTCAAAATAAACAAGAACCCAAATTGTTAACTGTGATATCCTATAACTCACCATGAATAATATTCTTAACACAATTTATAATGCCTGTAAACCATGGAACATATTTGTCGTGAACATCAACAGACAGGTAACGAAGGGATGCATCAGAACATAAATGGTACACGCCGCTTTACAGTTGAGTAGTGAAACAGTCTAGCCCCATTACCGCTGAAGTAACCAACTAATGGGTATATATTTGCATCAGTCATAAACCACGCAAGCCACAAATTATAGGTAATATAAGGGTTATTATTAAAAAGTTAATATGATAAAATAACACTTGTAATATGTTATTATTTCGTACTGTCGCTGTTACGAAATTGTGCACTTTATTGAATTTTAAATACGTTTAATTAATTACACTGAAAAATTTGTCCTTTACAAATGCTAGTAAAGTGGGTATATATTAATAAAACAAAAATTTAAGCGTTTATGCTTGTTTACGCTTTATTTAAATGGGAGAGATCCCCGCGAATAATGTACAAAAAGGTAACGCATAGCACAGTTTGTCCTTTGTTATTCTTCTGTAATGGCATTTTTGGAGGAAATGAGATAAAGATATGAACGGAATAAAGTAAAGGAAGTTGAAAAGGGTTGACAATAGAATGGACAAATGAAAAGATTGGGTAGGGAATGCAGGAGGAACGAACAAAGAAAAAATCAAGGAATGGTTAAAGCGAAAGAAAGTGAAGTTCGAGGATGGAGTTACGAAATAAATCATTTCCCAATGAATTTCAACGGGCTTTTTACATTAGTAAGATATATAAAGGAGGTTTAATACAAACACGCCCGAGGATGATTGCCGACAATGCTGACCGGATGGCTGTGAACCACATTCGAAAAAAAACGCGGCGTTCAGTGTTATCTCGTAGTTCTGAAGACCCGAACGTCTGACTGAAACATAATTATTACGATCTCAGATCACCAGGTATTCATTACTGCGTTTTACATCCGGGCGTGTAACTAAGGTAATGCAGAGGCCTAGATCGCAGACAAAATGCTCGATTGGTTTCATCAGGAGATACGGGATCCAGCATTTTGTGACATTTCGATGCGTGTCCTATTCTAAAGTAAAGTTATTTTTAATTGCTGTGTTAAATTGATCTGTCGTAAACGCCCTTGAGCGGAATTCTGTTGTACGTGTTAAATAGAGTGAATGTTCAATGCCTTCGAATATTTTATCTTTTGCAGTCTCGCTCAACCCATTAGTGTGTCTTATGCTGGTCTTTCTTCAAGCGCTTGGTATGAAAATATAATGCTACAGCAGCTTATGATGTGCATTAACCGTCTAAGAGCCAGTTGTTGGTTTGATTATAAACAGCTTAATTCTTTTTTTGAAATATAGTACAGTCACGGTAGAGATGAAGGTATGGAATAAGGCATAGGTTGAAGGAGAAAAAAATTAAATAAAGAAAACCCAGGACCATAGAAAAACACTTGGTGTATTACCAAATAAAGACTGCTTGTTTTAATGCAAGAATTTTATACCGTACTGAATAATATAATTCATTGAACATTGACTCTGTATAACTTATTTTTTACAGTCTCGTAAAAGGCCAAGTCTCCGATTAGCGTTCATTAAAAGCAGGCGCATTGTTTTCAATCAGTGATGGAAAATCGGAAATACACAATAAATTACTTTGTTTTAGTCCGAATAATAATACCATTCAATTGATAATAGTTAATATATTCAGTGCTTCAAAATAAACAAGAACCCAAATTGTTAACTGTGATATCCTATAACTCACCATGAATAATATTCTTAACACAATTTATAATGCCTGTAAACCATGGAACATATTTGTCGTGAACATCAACAGACAGGTAACGAAGGGATGCATCAGAACATAAATGGTACACGCCGCTTTACAGTTGAGTAGTGAAACAGTCTAGCCCCATTACCGCTGAAGTAACCAACTAATGGGTATATATTTGCATCAGTCATAAACCACGCAAGCCACAAATTATAGGTAATATAAGGGTTATTATTAAAAAGTTAATATGATAAAATAACACTTGTAATATGTTATTATTTCGTACTGTCGCTGTTACGAAATTGTGCACTTTATTGAATTTTAAATACGTTTAATTAATTACACTGAAAAATTTGTCCTTTACAAATGCTAGTAAAGTGGGTATATATTAATAAAACAAAAATTTAAGCGTTTATGCTTGTTTACGCTTTATTTAAATGGGAGAGATCCCCGCGAATAATGTACAAAAAGGTAACGCATAGCACAGTTTGTCCTTTGTTATTCTTCTGTAATGGCATTTTTGGAGGAAATGAGATAAAGATACGAACGGAATAAAGTAAAGGAAGTTGAAAAGGGTTGACAATAGAATGGACAAATGAAAAGATTGGGTAGGGAATGCAGGAGGAACGAACAAAGAAAAAATCAAGGAATGGTTAAAGCGAAAGAAAGTGAAGTTCGAGGATGGAGTTACGAAATAAATCATTTCCCAATGAATTTCAACGGGCTTTTTACATTAGTAAGATATATAAAGGAGGTTTAATACAAACACGCCCGAGGATGATTGCCGACAATGCTGACCGGATGGCTGTGAACCACATTCGAAAAAAAACGCGGCGTTCAGTGTTATCTCGTAGTTCTGAAGACCCGAACGTCTGACTGAAACATAATTATTACGATCTCAGATCACCAGGTATTCATTACTGCGTTTTACATCCGGGCGTGTAACTAAGGTAATGCAGAGGCCTAGATCGCAGACAAAATGCTCGATTGGTTTCATCAGGAGATACGGGATCCAGCATTTTGTGACATTTCGATGCGTGTCCTATTCTAAAGTAAAGTTATTTTTAATTGCTGTGTTAAATTGATCTGTCGTAAACGCCCTTGAGCGGAATTCTGTTGTACGTGTTAAATAGAGTGAATGTTCAATGCCTTCGAATATTTTATCTTTTGCAGTCTCGCTCAACCCATTAGTGTGTCTTATGCTGGTCTTTCTTCAAGCGCTTGGTATGAAAATATAATGCTACAGCAGCTTATGATGTGCATTAACCGTCTAAGAGCCAGTTGTTGGTTTGATTATAAACAGCTTAATTCTTTTTTTGAAATATAGTACAGTCACGGTAGAGATGAAGGTATGGAATAAGGCATAGGTTGAAGGAGAAAAAAATTAAATAAAGAAAACCCAGGACCATAGAAAAACACTTGGTGTATTACCAAATAAAGACTGCTTGTTTTAATGCAAGAATTTTATACCGTACTGAATAATATAATTCATTGAACATTGACTCTGTATAACTTATTTTTTACAGTCTCGTAAAAGGCCAAGTCTCCGATTAGCGTTCATTAAAAGCAGGCGCATTGTTTTCAATCAGTGATGGAAAATGCCCCATTCCACATGTAATATGGCACAATCAACTTTTAATCTAACAGAAGAAAATCTTTGTGCATTCAAAAGAGAGATAGTGATTTTAGATTTTAGTAGACGATAGACCGAATTATGAAAATTATAATAGTATGATTAATGTCCTCATAAAACATCTATTAACTTAGAATATACACTCTCCATGTTCTGTGAAAGGGTGTCTTCCTTCTAGAATCACTCCTTAGCGCTAAGCGCAGTGGTGCCTATATGAAAGCAAGTTGCAGAAATAACTTTCACTTCAAACGAAAGAAAATCCTGTTGCATTCAAGAAGACTTAATTACTTGCCGGTTGTTTGCTCTCCTGAAACTTAAGTAAGAATATTTAGAAATTGTGAGGAAAATCCAGTACACGTGCGTACAAATGAAAGAACTATGGTCAATAGTTCTACATAATAATGCAATTTATTAATGTAATAAGCTGACAGAACTGATATCGGTATTATTTTTAAACTTAAGCTAGTAGTGTGAGAAATTCTTTAGCTGTAAAGTATAATTTGAGTGTAGTTATTGTTAAGTGACGTTACATTAACAATTCGCTGTTCTTTATTTGAGATATTCATTTGAAAGTTTTGAAACCAAGAAAAGTCCATATGAATAATTGGCTGTGCGCTAGTCATTGTGTACTTTCCTTCACAGTCAGACACTGAATTATCGGTTCTAAAATCCAAATGTCTTAAAGGTCATTTATGTAAAGATGGCGTAATATTACTGTCGTTGTCATTCAACCCTTTCAGATTCCATCCGAAAATGTTACCTGCTAGAGAAATAAGACCTTTGAATTCTTCGAGGCAGAAGGGAATGAATTTGTGGTCTATTGTAAGACTCTGAAAATGGATCTAGATATTGTCAACCGTTAGTGACAGTCTGAAGCAGAAACGGAGACATGCCTAATGATTATAAAGGAAGTATTCTGGTCCAATTTGTCTAGATATTTTGTCCGAGGTGTGCGACGAAATTTCTCTAGGCTTCCCTTCTTACAGAGCGACAAATAACTTGGAATTACATGTCCATCCTTTCTAGATGCTACTACGCTTGCAGTGTAAGACCTCAGGCGCTATAAGGTACGTAGTGGCTGTGGAATTAATCGATTTTACTTGGAATCTCGGTGAAATGGAATAAAATTAATTAGATTGATGATGATTAATGCTACAGCGCAGGGATAACATTTTCATTACACTTTATTTAATATGTTTTATTGCCCCATTATATACAAGAGACATAAATGTTGCAGACAGAAGTTACAAACTTGTGTAAATAAAATTTTCATTTCATGTATGCATTTTTCTCACGATGAAGCCTTTTCAACAATTTCATAAAATTCTATATTTACAGAAAGGAAAAAAGAAAGTATGTAAACGCTGACATACTGTCGTATTTATCGATCAGTCTATTGCTTGGTCTTTCTCTGAGGATTGTACCCTGAGGTTCGAGTCCCAGGTCTGACGGCTTAGACCAAGGGCCAGTGTCACAGAATGGGGCGTCACATGGAACAGTGACGAGAACGCGTGGTCAAGGAACTATGTGCAGAAATATGCAAGAAATTATTTGTGTCATTTCGTTGCAATATTGAATGAATCCAGACTCGCTTACTTCAACAATAAATCTACATGGCTAATTTTGTTTTTACCTGCAGACTAAATATATGAACTGCATTCGATTCAATTATGATAATGTAATTTTCACTAGAACTAGTATTCCTTTCGTTAGGTTCAGTGTACAGTCTTCAGTCCGACTAATCTGGTAACTATTTCATCGTCTTTTCGGCACAGTGTGTCTTAATATATTTTAGTGGTTTATTTAACGACGCTGTCAGTAACTCAGACTATAGTTATAGCGTCTAATGATTGGATGAATAACAGATGTTTAAGGATATAGAAGGAAGTGTTTGTGGCTTTATTTAATAAACTATCCCTTAATTTGTCTGCAGTGACTGATAATACGAGGTGCGATCAAAAAGTTTCAAGACTGCGCCTATAAAAACCCGTACACTTATCTCAGGTATTAAATTCATCCATCACCCTCGAAGTAGTTCCCCTGGGAGTGAACACAACGATCCCAGCGCCGCTGCCAAGCCTGGAAGCATCCCGGGAAATCTTTCTTTGTCAGCCTGTCAAGCACCATCTGCGATTCGGCCTGAATCTCTTGCCAAAGACTCGCCAAAACGGCTACGG